CCCCCCCCCCCCCCCCCAAAAAAAAGTAACTTTTTTTTTTAGATTATTTAATCAGAATATAAAAAAAATTAACGTTACTATAATTTATTTATAAGCAACGTTATAACTAATACAAATATATATCAAATAATTAAAACTGACTCAATTTATTTAAATAAAAGCAACTAAGATTGATATTTAAAATAAGTAATGATTAATTATTGGAACTTATAAGATATTTAAAATACTGGACTTTTTTTTTTCATTAATATTGAAATATCAATTAAAAGCAATAATAATAAACTAAGATTAATTAACTTAATGCAATAAAATTAAAAAGGCCAGATTTTTTCTACTGCTATTCATCAGAATTGTCATCACCGTACGTACCATTGCTATTATCCTGATGAACCATGGACTTAGTTTTAAATTTTGACAATCTACCTGAAGGTTTAGAGGGTTTCTTCCCCTTCTCTGCTTGCAACTCCAGTCCTTTCTCTGATGGTTTTCGTTTTCGTTTCACCCGCGCTCCTCCTGCATCGTCTGGGTTATCTAACACTGCAAAACAAACCAACCCCTAGTTGAAAAACGAAGCGATGTTGATTGGTTCGAACAGAGTTATGGAAAAATATTGTGTAACTACTGGCTCGTGTTGTTTCAAGATGATAGATGCCTCTTAACAAGGTTAGAGAGAACCGGTTTGATTGGAACCGATATAAATTACGATAAGGCTATAGAAAAGCTTTTGCAACCGCTTGCATTACAATACGCGATGAAAGATGAGTAACTACTTATGCAACAACACAAACCTACTATTAGCAAATATTGTCCTCTTTGAGTTTTTTCTTCCGAGCTTCTCCTCAAGGTTTTAAAACGTGTATGCTAGGGAAAAGTTTTCAGACCCTTATAACGAATGTTTCGTTCCCCTTTCTAACCGATGTGCGATCTCACAATCCACCCTCTTTGGGGCCCAACTCCTCGCTGTCACTCGTTCCCTTCTCCAATCGATGTGGGATCTCACAATCCAATCCTTTTAGGGGCTCAGCGTCCTCACTAGCACGCCACTCGATGTCCACTCCTTTCAAGGCTCAACGTCCTCACTGGCATACCGCCTAGTGTCTGGCTCTGATACCATTTGTAACAGTCAAAGCCCACCATTGGAAGATATTGTCCTCTTTGGTTTTCCCTTCCGAGCTTCTCCACAAAGTTTTAAGACATGTTTGTGAGGGAGAAATTTCCACACCCTTATAAAGAATGCTTCGTTCCCCATTCCCCTCTCCAATCGATGTGGGGTCTCACAACTCAGATTTTTCTCAGAAGATGAGGCCTTTGCCATCCAATTTTCTCTTGCATAGAACACCATTGGGGGAGGAAGTATTTCATACCATAACATGAGAGACATAAAGTCAGAACACATTATTCAGAGAAAAAAGATCATCAAGTTCGCTCAGATATCCCCATTCCCTCGTTCAGATATCAAGTTCACTCATAAGGGCACCATTTATGTTCATTAACAAGAATAATAATATATCCTTTTAGATACTAGGAGACACTTAATGTAGCTGTGGTATGTTTGTGCTTGCTTGAGTAACTGAACTGAGTAATGGTTTTATGCTAATTCCTTAAGAAACTGGGCCCAAGGGTTCTCTTTGTAGGGTAGCATAGAAAACAAGATATGTAAATGGTATGTACCCAGCAACACACATACAAGAAACACAATCAACTGAGCAAGTGAATTGTTACCTTCCAGTGGACTTGATGCATGATTGGTCGTACGGCCATTTACACCAGCCTCCTCTGAAGGTGGGGATCCGGAATTGTTATTTTCGATCATTTTTGAAGAAATCTCGATGCACTTATCCTGCTGCTCGATAATGTCGGGACATGGGATAGCTGGCAAGAAGCATAGTTCATCCTGTGAAGCATCTGAGTCACTGAAAGCTGAATCCTTCTCCACGTTTACGATATCGACTTCTTCATCTTCATTAACATCGGGTTCTTTCACCTGAAACCACGGATCTGTCATGTGACTAGGCAAGGAATCAAAAACTTGGGAAAAATAACAATTATAATCTCACCTTTTCGGTTTCGGGATTCAGATCAAATTCATCTTCTCTTTCCACATATTCTTCGTTTTCCTCGAGCTCTTTAAAATCAGGAGCAAAAGCACTCCAATTCTCAGTATAATCTTTAGCCCAAATATAAATCAAGCCAGTAAGTGAAACAGAGACGACAATGGGATGAACGGGATGCCAGCCTAAATCAATCAATGCTTCCTTTGGACCTTCGAGGATTTTTACGAGATAACCTGCTCGATCCCAAATGTAAATCTTGTGTTCGCCTTTGCTTGCAGAACCACCAACAACCCACTCACCATCACCACTAAAACAAGGTGCTTTCCAGTGCATTCTAGTGATAGAATCTTGAAACTCCCGGAAAAGAGTTAAACACTTTGTTCCAACAGCCTTCAGTTTCTCAGCACCGTCAAGCCCATCGAACTCTTTCGTAATTTCGTCAATGACTTTCAATCCATCTTTGTTGGGTAGGAGACTTTCATAGATCCTAATCGTTCTGTCGTTAGAATTAGTGAGCAGATATTGACCATTTCTACTAAATACTATGTTCTTCACAACAGCACCTCCAGAAATTGGAACCATGGCCTCTATCTGAACTCTTTCGTAATCTATCACAAGTATTTCACCTTTTGAATTTCCTACATAAACTAGGTCGCCATACTTGTTAAAGCAAGCCGCTGTCGGGGTAAAAGGCGGAGTTCCATCAGATACTTTGCCACGAGAAGAAGCTGTATCTGCATCAGAAATACAAACTGGAAGTAGAGTTGTGCTTCCCGTCTTTAAGTCGACAATCATAGGAGCAGATGAGAGAGGGCATGCCAAGCAGAGAGATGGATTAGAAGATCCAGGATGCAGACGAGCTTGTAAAGGGGTCTGTTGCAGTGTTATGCGGTTTACCTTCTCCCCCTTGAGAACGTTCCACAGCGTTAACGACCTATCCGCAGCAGATACAAGAATTTGATGGCCATATTTTGACCAACAGACACTCGTAATTGCAGAAACACAATCTTTATCTTTAAGCTCCTTAGCAATGCCTCTGGTCTCAAAATCCCAGATAACACAGTTTCCATCAGAGCATCCAGCTGCCAATAGTAACGTCAAAGCATTAATATTTACCGGGTATTGCCTAAAATTTAATAGCCTAAGCTCACTGCTAGTAGATATTGTCCATTTTGGCCATTTACGTATCGCCATCAGCCTCACAGTTTTAGAACGCACTACTAGGGAGAGGTTTCCACACCCTTGTAAGGAATGCTTCGTTTCCCTCTCCAACTGATGTGGGATCTCATAATCCACCCCCCTTGGGGACCAACGCTCTCGCTGGCACACCGCCCTGTGTCTGGCTCTAATACCATTTGTAACAGCCCAAGCCCACCCCTAGTAGATATTGTCCGCTTTGACCCGTTACGTATGGTCATCAACCTCACGATTTTAAAACGCATCTACTAGGGAGAAGTTTCCACACACTTGTAAGAAATGTTTCATTTCCCTCTCCAACGGACTAGGGATCTTACAAGAACGGTTTCCACACAGCAAGAAACTCATCTAATCAACGCCGGTGTCAATATGACATGAAAACACTACCACATGCTTATTTGAGCTGAATCAAGAAACAACACAGAATTAGACTGTCCTTTTTCTTTGAGATAAGAAGAAAAAACTTGAAAATGTAAACGTATAGTGCATACCCCCATAAATCAAGCATATTCAACCTCCTTTCGTCAATACACAATGAAATTAGTTCTTTAATCTTGAATCTTAACTATTGAAGCCTCTTTTTGTAGTTTTTGCTCCTTCTCTCTTGGGCTCTTGTCCCAGTGAAAGAGGTTATCCATTCAAAAGGAGAAGAAACACAAGTAATAACATGGAAACCTAGCTAAGCAAAGGGGATTAGAAGGACATTTTGAATCATTTACCACACCCTCATGGCTCATTCCTGCTCGCCAGCATAACAAAATCAATATCAACAATCAAAGCATGA